AAAGAGTCGTGGCTCACTTTACAATCCTTAAACCTACTTTTAAGTCCGGAATTTCAAAACTTAGCCTCGCGACCCTTCTATAAACAAATGTGGCAGACGCCAAGCTGTTCGACTACTGATCTTCTTCGGTCAATTGGCATTTTCAATAGCTTCGGACATCCAGGTAGGCAGCGGAATTCATGGCGTAAGATGCAACTGGTAGTACTTGTGGCCCTATCACTTGTAGAATGAATAGTACCTCCTACCAAATTGCACTGCGACCTGCTGCCGAATTGTGACCCAGAACTCTTCACCCGATCGCTTTCCGAGCTGCGTTCCATCAGCAACCCGTACCTCTACCAAGCTGCTTTAGCTCCGCCCAATGAAGCGAAACAAGTTCCCAGACTCGGGTTCCCTCCCAGTGGCCAAAATCCTGTATGCTGCGTCGGCACATCTACCTTGTAATTCTATAGGTAACCGACAGACAATGGCCTCCAAGTTGACCGGCGAATTGAAATCCGCAACGCAGCCAGTCTGTGACCATGTTGTTTATAGGTTTCTGGGCTTTACAGAGAACTCACTCATAGCCTCAACCATACTTCCCACCGAGTGTCTATTTCTAACCAAATTAATAAGTGACCAAGCAACCATATGCTCCTGACCAGTCAAATCATAAGGGATTTATTTCGCTGGATCATGTGCGAGGCCAGTGAGATTAATGTGTCCGTCGCTGTTCTCGCCTTTTTTTTGCAAAAGTGTAAGAGATAAGACAATGCCTGACCTTTGTCAACAAGTTTAGTTTCTACTGTGTCTCTAAAATGACCAATAAACAGCCAGTATTGGCTGGGTTGTCCATCAAAGTACGTCAGCTCTATCCATGGTGAAGAAACGTTGTTCGCCACTGAGTCCAAGCAATTTTTCAAACCTGATATGAGGCTATATTGTGTATCATCGGTTTCAGATAATGCAACGGCATTTTCGCCCTAGAATGACTTCCTGTCTTATCCTCAACTCTTAATTCGTTTGGCTGTTTGTCCTTCGGTAAGGGTTCGGGTGCTTGACAATTAATATAGTTGGGCATACTACATGAACTATTCAAACCAACACCATCAACACTCACCTTATCCTCCTTATCACCACACGGAGCACTAGAAAATTCCAAATAACTATCCACAGGTGAGGCTTTCCCTCCATGTCCAGATTCAGCATTATGAACTCGTTTAACAGCTCGATTTCCGCTATTGGAAGACATACTGGAAGGGACAGAATATCCTTAATATTGAAACTTGTTGCCAAGTGGGAATGATCTAAATCGTCGGCCGAAGAAGCGGAGCCAAAATGCGGAACTTACGTTACGTCAAGTCAACTGAGTGGCACATAACGAAGATGCGAATTTCCAATGTTCCCAGACCCAGTGTGAAAGTGACCAAATCCAAAACAATCGGTTGCCAAAAAAAGTGCATATTAAGACAGTGAGCGAACCCTGCAAAAATTGTTCTTTACAACAAAATAAATGCGTAAACCTTAATTGCAAACCTTCAGTTCTGGCGGCTAATTCAGCTTCTATCCAAAACGAAAAACAGTCGTAACACTGATAGAAACAAGAGGTTAAATATGGTTATACAAGCAAACTGAATGAATTCAAACATAATGAGCTGTCAATGTTTTCGAATACATTACAATAACAGAACCGAAAAATAAGCAGCGGGGACTGCAGAGGTTTTAACCTCAAGTTCCTTCATTGACTTTGCCTCACTCGTAAAGAAAATAAACTTTTCATTTTGGAGATATAAGTCAGGTTTTTAAATCCAGCTTGAATGGGAGTGTTTTATTTCAATGTGATTGTCGGTTCCCCAAACTTTGAAAGAAACTTATTCAGAAAGAGACAGCAGACAATGCTTGTGCTGCCAGAATAGTTATTTATAAAAGTCGTTCGTTATTATACTCATAATGATGTGTAAGGAACTTATTGTTTTCTTACTGACTTGCGGAACCATTTGAGTGCTATTCGCCGGACACGATTCTAAGCTGCGAAATGTAATGGCAAATTCCGTGCGAGTGAGATGAAGTGTTAGCTATAGTTGTTCTGATTGGTCAGTTCTATTTGACCCTCAGAAAAGCCAAGGGGCTGGTTTCTAACCTTGCTAACCTGTAGGATTAATTTTCACACTATAGAGACGCATGTATGCAACAATCAGCATTGGTAAAAGAACATCAAAATGTCATTCAGATTGATTCTTGTATCAGTGAATCTCCTAGCTAAATTCACACTACTTGTGAGGAATGGAAGGGTACGAAGCGGCAGGAGTGTAAAGCATACACCAAACGATTCCCAGAGCCGAGCTGTTTACTTAATGAAGTTGTCACTAAATGCTAAAGAAACTAATAGCTTGCACAGGAACTGTCATTTTCTCATGAACAGGGATGAGAATAATAACGTCGACCCGGAATACAAGTACGAGTATACTGTTTTTCCTTATCGAGTCTGTCGGCTCAGTATAACTCACCGAGAACACCTAGTGAAAATGGGGAATATGTTGCATGAATGCTTTCCTCTATAGCTCAGCTTTCAGAAAATATAGGAATGCTCCCTACGACTATATCGCCGGAAGGTCAGTGAAGGAAATCGTGGTTCGCATCACTAAATGCAGTTTGATGTAAGTCCACCATTGTAATCTCTGTAGTTTCAGGGGCGACAAAACCCCTGAAGCGCTGCATTCGCTAATGAAATGCGCAGTATATTATGTGTTCTAAACTATCAAGATGGGCACAGGAGCGATTACCTATCATTTCAGATTGTCGTACTTCACGTATGCTGCTTGATAATACTCAAAGAAGCACTAGCAATTTATCTAGAGATTTATTTTACTGAGAGCAACATTCTTTGCAAATGCGTGCAAGAAAAAATATATGTTCACAAAAATATGTAGGACTAAAGTTGGGTTCAAACGTCTTGTTACGTCAAATCCGCTGAGTAGCAAGTAACGAAGATAAGAATTTTCGGAGTTTTCGAAACCCAAAGCGCTACCGACTAAATCCAAAACAATCGGTTTCCAAAAAGCAAATGCATATTCAAACAGTAGGTGAACCCTGCGAAAATTGTTCTTTGCAACAAAACACATGTACAAAGCTTAATTACAAACCTTCAATTTTAACGGCTACTGCAGTTTCTATCCAAAACGAATATAATTGTAACACTAATCGAAACAAGTGGTTAAATATGGTTGTACAAGCAAACTGAATGAAGTTAAACGAAATGAGTGGTCAATGTTTTTGAATACATTACAAGAACAAATCAAAACACATTCAACACGTCTGCTGATATGCAGTAGGATGGTCACCAGCATACTGCATCTCGAAGACAGGCTTCAAATCCTTGTGTTGTATCAAAACCCACGATTATTAATTAAAAAGATTTGTGGCAACAATAATAGTTTATTTCGAATGAAGAAATGTAAGAAAACATGCCATTTTTACAGGTAATGTCTGGATGTTAATGTTTTCAGCGAAGCTGCGAAAATTCTAGAATAAGTCACAACGCCGTGTAGAGTCTCCTAGAGTAAACAATTGTCTGTATACTAGCTCTCCCGTACTATTCGCATTCGTTTTGTTATGTTACATATGTAACCACTGGCAGTTCTTCAAAGAGGATACCAGCATCATAACTACGATTTCACTTGTAATCAAAATGTTGGCCAGCAAAAGATCTCCAACACGTTAACATAGTTATCTAAGTTCGGATAACATAAAATATGGTGAAATTAATTTTCATATTAGTGCTGGGACGGAAGACAACTAGGAGTCAACAAGGAAAAAAATTATAAAGTTAACCTATAGAGCCTCGAAAGACTACTTTCCAATGCTTATTAGCAATTAAATATCGGGAAAATATTGTAACCTAAACCAAATACCTGTCTAATTTGACATACTCAACATTCTCCGCTTCAATAGATCATCAAAAATTATGCTATTACGCCTGGACTACAAGCAGTTTATGTCGCTTTTTCACTGCAGACACGCATATCAGTCAAAGAAAACAGGTTATACGAGAAAGAAAAATCGAAAACTATTCGCTTTCACTAATATCCAGCCTATTTCTATTTTTATGACATCAGTTGATTGAAAAATCACCCACAACTTACTGTAGTCTACAGTCAGCCGAACTATTTGTATATGCTAGCAGCCTCACTCCACTGTCGCCTTGCAACTAACAGGGCTTATGGAGTCCTGGGGTTCCTCTCGCGAACTTTAGGGGGTTTAACTCCTTTATTCACCACAGTGTATGCTGTGTACATTCGCCTTTATCTAGAAAAAAATTTTTGTGACTTCCCCATACCTGAAAAAGGACATAGCCATCCTAGAACGGGTACAGAGAGGGGCTACAAAGAAAGTGACTGGGTTACGGCACAAACCGTACCCAGACAGCTTAGTTGAACTTCAGCTGCGCCCAGTACAATACCGGGGGATCAGAGGGGATATGATCATGATCATCGCACATAATCCCCTCATCCCTAACAGATCTTTTTTAAGCTTTAGTCGGAAACGTGGTTTGAGGGGTCACCCGTTAAGAATAGAGCATGACAGAGCACGTACAAAGATCCGCGATTACCCATTTGCGGTTAGTCTGTAAACTGTGGGACTTCCTTCCCTCAGGAGTTGTCACAGCCTCGTCCCCTGGTACTTTTAATAGGAGGTTAGACGCACACCCCAAGTCCTACAATACCAATGGGCTGTACTCGATAAGCTTTCCGTCATCTCCGGATCAGATGCAGTAATACTACCTTGAGATCAGATCAATAAATAGGTTTTTCAGAACCGGGAAGATAACTGTGACTATTCCAATTTCAGGATGTATTCCAATAAGACAGACATAGAACCCAATGAACTGCCGTTCACTAATTCCACAAGATGAAGTTTGAAGTCTGATATGTAATGTAGCGCGCTTTTTGGAATGTTGACCTTGCGGGAGGAAAGTTATCCGTGCTAAAGTTCAGAGGACGTAGTAAACCACCACCTCAATTATGTTTGGAAATAAAGCAGACAAGCTACAAGACTCCTTAATACAGCTTAGAGTATGATTCTGGCAATGTTGACTTAGCACTCTTAGATAGCAGCAAAGCAAGTGACACGGTTTTCTGAAAAAGCAGCCAAAGAGTGCGAAATACAAAAGCAGAAGCTAAAAAAGGTTACAGGATCTGTTTACTGATTCTAAATCTTGTAGGCTTTGACGTCTGGTAACGTCGAGTGTGGCCGGATATATGCTGAGAATGCGATAAGAAAGCAGAAAGAATCCATCAACTATCTTCGCATGGCGTCTCGATTTGATGCTGTTCAGTCACGAGTGCAGACTGCTCTGACAATGAATCAGGTACGTTCTTTTTTGAGTTATAGATTGTAGGTTGTTAAAAATATTGGTTCTGTATCAAATGAGCTTGAAAAGGCAATGCGCACTATGGATTTGGAGAAGCTGGAAAAGATAATGGGTAAATTCGAGTCTCAGTTCGAAGATCTTGATGTTCGTTCTGCCACAATGGAAAACTCAATGAAGAACACTTTCACACTCTCGTCACCTGAACAGGAAGTTAATGCTTTGATAAAACAGGTTGGTTTATCGTGGCTATATTCCTAGTAGTTTATTATTCCCATTTGATTTTTTTTCGAATGTAATAGTGCTTCATAGTCAGTAGTCATATATGTTACCATTTTCTTGTTTACAGTTTTTGGAGTTCGTAGCTTCATATCACTTATTCTGCAGCCTTCCTCAGTCTTACAGCTTTATCTGCGTAGTACTTAGCAATGCCTTTAACCAACTGTTGTAGAGACTGACACAGTAATGCCTTAGTTCAAATGATTTTATCTCCGTGCAGTCATAGAGAAATATGAAGAACCCTTTTGTCTTCGAATAACCTATCAGGTGATTATGGGCTGCCCATCAGGCAGTTAGAGATGACAAGAAACCACTCAGTACGACCGTTTACTAGACTTAACAAGTGTCTTCTATTTTGTTTAAAATAGGTTTCAAAAAGTCAGTCACTCACTTTTATGGTCTAGCATTAAATCCTCTGACCTAATACCAAACCTTATTTCTTTTTAAACTTCCTAAATAGTGAAGTTTTGTTCGCAGTAGATAAAAAATCTGCGTCGTTTCATAACCTAATCTCTTGTGAGTAAACTTGGAAGAAAAATCCCGTTTAGATATAACTTTGAAACCTAGCAGATACCTGCTAACTTTCGAAAAATATTCAAGACTTCGATTTAATAAGAGTTCGCATTTTTCACCTCAATACGTCTCAATACTCATAAATGCTGTCCATTACTTTACATTCTGTTAAAAATTTCAGAGTCCCCAATGCTTCACCCCACCATAGACCAGCAAACAACTCCCTCTTCCGTTTGGTTATTCAAAAAGTAGCATGATTTTTCAATTTTATCAAAAGATTTAAACGTGGTTAAGTAAGCCTACTCGGTTGGAATGATTGTCAGTGAGTGCGTTATAGCTGATGTGATCAGTTTATGGAGAAGCAAGTAAAGTTTTTATAAAGTCGTATGCGCTAACTTCGTAAAGATGCAGCTGATTTGTTCAAACATTTGATGTCAAAAACATATACTGAGCATTTCACAGTTTTCTATTGCATGACTGATACTTAACCGTTGGAGGTGTAAAGAAGGAGTAATTATAACTATCTAATCATGAGCCCATAACATTTTTTACATGCGACTGCAACACAAGCTAGATTTAGAGAAGGGTAGAGTTCCAGATGAGAAAAATGAGTCAGTCAACTAAGTGCGAAAATTTTTTGGGTGAGATGATTTAAACATGTTACGCATCCCCACTCCTGAAATGTCAACCGCCCTCACAACTGTGTCAGCACTCAAGTTCCTTCAGATCACTGTCCACTATCCACATCTTTGACTTCTAATCTTCCTTAACGTCTCTCGGTCAACATTCCTTCATCTTAGATTTCTTCCGGCTCTCGACAACGATCTTAGTTCACAGAGCAACACTCCTGGTTTCCTGAAACCGGGTGCCAAGTTACGCATTCGAGCTTTCAATATCTGGACCCTCTGACAAATCAACCAACAAGCTTCACCACCCAAAACTCCAGCAACTCGGGCCGTAAATGCTTACTGTTTGAGATGCGCATACAAGATCCTAGTACGGTTATTCACTTATTATTAGAACACGAACGTGATAACAGCAGGGGCACCAAGAAATGTGCCACACAAAATAATATAAGAGCGTTATGAAGACAAAGTGAAGGAAAAGGGATAAAAATGAAACAATAAGAATAGAATGACTAGAAAGACAGTTCAGTAAAGTACATTCGAAACAAAATATTACTTTTCGGTAGGAGAAAGCTACAGCATGACCGCTACTGGTTTCAATTTTCAACCACATCCACTAATGTCTCAAGCCACTGAGTTGCGTTATGTCTCGGACCCCACCCAGAGAGTTGATGGGCCATCAAATGCTAACTAGATACAACTATCCCTCATCCCACGGCGCCACGTCATACACTGACCACCCGTCCGCTTCCTTCATCCAATCCAGGGTTAGCAAACAATGAACGGTGTAGAAGCTGTCGGAACGACATGCACAACATATATTGAAGCCAATGAAACTGGTGTTTCCAACTGAATAACGATCTCCATCATGCCCAAACACACGCTATCGTACCTCAGGATTAATTACATGGTGTTCCCACCGGATACAAGCAATCCCAAGGAGACAACCATGATCGAACACAGAGTCGTTGCATATTTTCAGCTCGGAAAGGCCGGGCTTCAAAGGCGTAGGGCAAACTGCACGTACCAAAGCGTTTTTAACCCGATCTTTACGATCAAACTAACGTCGAGATGGCGCTAAAGGTGGCTCAGATTGACGTGTGCCACCCTGGCTTTCAGTATGTGGTTGGAAATTTCACCACTTACACCTCCACCAGCACTCACACAACTACCCAGAAACACGTACTTTCCGACTACCTCCAACGGCTCACCAACGGTGAGCGCAGGCTCCTGCCAATCTTGCAAGAGTACTTTGCACTTTAACGATCCAAAGCACCTATCATGCTTACGGACACTAATCCCCAACTAATTAAGTGCGACTTGAGTAGCGTATGTGTTATCGCACAGTAAGACGATATCGTACACATATTCAAGGTGGAATAGCCGTTTTCCTGGTACTAGATCTACACTACCACCACACATTTCCTTCAGAGCTGTCTCAAAAACGTCATTGATGGCAAAGTTAAAGAGGAATAGAGAAATCAGGAAACCCTACCTAACCCCACTGCTGGTTTGGAACAATGGAGACAGGTGCTCCCACTCTACCTGAGATGTTACTGTGTAGGGATTTCAAGATGTTAAGAAATTTCTCGGGCACACTCCTCTCCAAGAGACAGTTCCAAAGTACAGCTCTGTCCAACGAACAAAAGTCAGTCTTGATGTCAAGCAACACAACGATTGTTGGTCTAAAATACATCTAACAATGTTCGAGCATCTAGCTGATGATAAACACACGACTAATGCATCCACGACTTGAACGGAACTTGGCCTGCTCCTCGCGAATGATTTCCTCACATGTTTTGCAAAGTCTGCGAAGTATGATAGCAGCCAGTATTTTCGACGCTACTGGTAGCAGACTAATACTCCAATAATTGTCACATGCATCACATAGACATTTTTTAAAGATGGGCACATTAATGCCTTCATTCTAGAGTGATAGAACACCCTCAGTCTGCCATCCCTTTTCAAACAATCTAGTCAGTTCCCTGACTAGAGTCGTTCCTCCATCCTTAGGAAGAGTCGTAAGTTTTTGGACCGGGTGCCTTGTGGCGTTTCAGAACTTGGGACTCCTTATGTACCTCTGCTTCGCTAGGCGGTCAATGTTAACTGACCATGAAGCACGATACACTAAAGCTGACAATGCTAGAGCTGTGGGCCAGCTAAACTGCTTTTCAAAGTGCTCCGCTTAGCATTCCAGGCGTCTTTGAAGACTTTATTGCTGAACTATCTACCTCACACACTGTCTCACTGACCCCTATTTCTTGCTGACACTGGCTCGGATGAGTTGGAACAGCATCCGACTATTGTCAGATGCAGCTGCTGCTTCCACCTCACTCTCACGTACTGTCCACTAAGCTCACGATCTCTGCTTAAGCGTTGTGTAATCTTTCGCGTAAGAGACTTACGCGAACTATTGTACTTGCTATTCACCAGAATGGTCCAATGGGCATCAAGCAGAGACCCAGTGTTTATTAGCGGGACGTTCTTCCAAGCCCCAAGCGGCTTTACTCACCATTCACATGGCGTTTTTCAGGTGCAGCCAATGCTCGTCTACACTTTCTGGAGGCTAGGTAGCTAGCCCTAAATCTAGCTTGGACTGGTGTTTAGCTGCGATTTAAGTTGCATCGACGTGTTAGGATGACGATTTTGATACCCATCAAAATGCAAGACAAGCCTAGCATACACTGAATCATCATCGTAGTCATGACAAGTGCTCCATATGGAGCTGGATAAGACGATCACCATTATCCCATCTGCGGCCATATAGTCCCCACTGACCACCTAAACAACTTCTCTGAGTCTAGACGCCTGACCTGCGCATTCAAGTCCCCAGCTAGCGCTACGATATCTGTCGAGCGCCCTGGTTGAGAAGGTCGTTTATTTGATGATAGAATTCATCCTCGGTTGCGTCCGGGCTGCAATCCGTCGGAGCGTAGGCTGAGATGACAAAGCGACATAGTTTCTCTTACTGATTACTTCTTACTCTAGTTGGACCCTGTAGCTTAACAGCACACAGATGACTGTTGATGGGGATCAGTCCAGTAGTGTAGCTTCGGCTTGATTGCTTAGTGCGACGACACAATCAGTGCAGTCGCCGATGCCGCAGGGTCTTCGGATGAGCGCACATGAGACATACTTTTCCACTTGACAGATGGGAACTAATTCGACACACTTCCCCGAGACATTGTATGCAGATCTCTAAGATGCAGCATACAACAGTAGCAAGGCTTTCTAGAGTCCTAGCCAAAATTACCAGTTGTCTGATCTGTATCAAGATGCGAACGTTGAAGATGGCGAGGTTAAATAGCATGATTGGTTTCAGGGTAGCTGTGTCGGATGTCGCACTGGAAGACAGTTTTATGCGGGGACACTGTTAAGCGATTCAAAACAGTATAGACAAAACAAAAGTCTAATCATGGAGGGCATCTGAGTGAAGTGAAGATAAGGACAGAAGCGAAAATGGTAACAATAAAAAAAAGTTTAATCGTAAAAACAATAAAAACAATATAATAGCAATAAATGAGTAATTAGTTATTAAGTTCGCAGTGTGGAGAGCCTCAGTATTTATGTGTAGGTTGCTTAATAGCTTCAGAATCCTTTTATGTTGTAAGTTCATAGTTCATTTCTTGTGTGAGGGCTGGGATATTGCCGGGGCCCAGATCGAAGGGGATGGTTGTTTTTAGGGGACCGCTCTCCAAGCCTTTGATTTAAAGTTTAATCCGCAAGGCAGCAGAGCAATATCAGGAGCTGCATTTCCATGATTGCAGGTGACAAAAATGAGTTCCTACGCCATTCTTTTCATCTGAAACCTGAAGCCCACGAGCACCACTGATTTGGAATCAGGATTTCCCAACTCCCCTAGATAGACCCTCAGTATCCATCGATCTGGTGATAAGCGCTGTACATTCGCTTGCGCCCTTTCACATCTCTGAAGATACCCCCGGCATGTGAAGGCAGTAAATAGGACTTCTCTGGCTGAGTCTGTGAACGCGTACCAGAGCATTTGGTCAGTATAGTGATTCCGCAAAATTCACCATTCAAGTTTTGGAGATTTGGTGGCTATTTCTTGCCACCTTGCAGGTGTAGATATGGCATTGAGCACTAAGACAGAAAGTTCTCCACTTGACTGGATCCCAGTTGGGAGTTGCTTATTCGCTAATCGATTAAAATAGCTCAGTGAGGACAAAAATGAATAGTGAAAATCGCCGTTTTCTCTGTGTAATCCCCACTTACATGCCAACTGACAGCAGTTTGGATGAAGTAAAGGATAAGTTCTACCGAAAACTCCCTAGCCTCCTACTGAAAGCCAAGCGCTCAGGGTGGTATTTGTTGCAAGTGATTTCAATCCACAGGCGGGTAGACTAAGTCAGGCAGAAAAGCACTTAGGTGGCACTTTCTGAATCCCAGCCAAACGAACAGATGATGGCAGTCGCCTACTACAACCGGGCTCAGATGACAGTTTATTTCTAGCCAGCACAGGTCTCAGACATAACGAGCCATCAGTTATCGCCGGAG